ACATACAGAAAGGCACACTCATGGTGCACATACAGAAAGGCACACTCATTGTGCACATACAGAAAGGCACACTCATGGTACACATACAGAAAGGCACACTCATGGTGCACATATATGAACATATAGGCAAAACACACAGATAAAATAAAACCTAAAAGCAAAGCAAAACCAAACCAAAGTGGAAACATAAGTCAGTGATAGTAATCTGCCCTTGTAATCACAGCCTTTGGAAGACTGAGGCAGGAAGATTAGACATTCAAGACCAGTGTGGGTTATAATAAGCACAAGGCGTATGTCTACTACATTGTAAGACCTTGTCTCAAATTTTAATAAAAGAAAAAAGAGTTGAATATAAACAGCTACAAGAAATTCAAGTTAATTACTGGCCAATTATATAACTTTTAAAATGTCATTTTGAAAATTAGAACTGTTTTTAAAATATTATTTATTTTGCATGTATGAGTGTTTTACCTATATGTTTTCTGTGCAATACTCTCTGGTACCATGGTGCCTGCTGAGCCAAAAGAGGGCATCAGATATCCTGGACCTGGAGTTATGAGTTATAAGCTACCATACAGTGCTCGGAATTGAACCTGGGTCCTCTGCAGAAGCAGCCAGTACTTTTAACTGCTGGGTCATTTCCTCAGGACCACAGTCAGCATTCTTAACTATAAAGAGTTCTTTTTTAGATGACTGTGAAACAGCTGTGGATGACTGTAAGGTGCACTCTGGTACTTTCACATATGACAAAGTGACTGAGTATCACGGTTCATGACCTTAGCCTAATTTCACAAATAGAACATTCCTAATTTTCTCTAGCTTATCTTTGTAAGAGACTATTTTAACTGCCACATAACATTATGTACAATTGTAAGACATTAGCATTTACAAGACATTTTATTGGTTTATTAAACATCATTTTGGAAAAATAATTTTTTTAATGATACTTCTCAAGACCTTGAATTGCTAAGCAGTCAAATGAGATGAAATTTTTCCCCAGCCCTTCTTAGGTATTTCGTTGTCTTATTTTAGTTTTAAAGAGGGTCTCGAAAAGTTTCACAAGATGGCCTCAAACTTGTTACAAAGCCCAGGAAGGTCCTGAAATTGTGATTCTCCTTCTTCAGCCACCAAAGCAGGTAGGATTTAAAGGGGTAGGCCGAGATGCCTAGCTGTTTATATTTCTTGCTTAGAAAATAAAAAGAATCATCATCTTAGCTAAAGGACGACTGAGTACTTATGTTAAAGCCCTATCAAGTCAACACTCAGTGTCTTCCTTCCACTAGGCTTGTATAAAATCTCCATGCTATTAAACAACTCAGCCAAGTTAAACCTGAGGACTTTAATGCTTGACTCCTGGGGTGGTTTGAACAAGAACGTATGAATAAGACCTGGTGTTTGAACGTGTGGTCCCTACTTGTAGTACTGTTTTAGGTGCTGTGTGGGGAAGATTTAGGAAACATGGCTTTGTAGAACCACATATGTCACCAGGGCGGGCCTTTCAGTTTCAAAGCCTCTTAGCGTTCCTAGTTTGCTCTCTGCCTTGTGCTGGCTGCTGAGGAGATGAGCCTTCAGCTTCCGGCTCCTGTCACTGTGCCTTCATTCAGCCAACATGGACTCTAGTCCCCTGCAACTTTAAGCTCAAATGAACTCTTTCTGCTGTAAGTTGCTTTGGTCATTGTATTTTATCACAACAATAGAGAAGTAATGAGCACATCTACAGAGTCCTCCTATTCTGAGATCCAGGTTATAACGCACGGCTGTGAGAATCACTCCTTTATCCCAGCCCATCCACCTTGTGTTGTTAGGGTAAGGTCAGAGGGCTCCACACACACGTTTCCTGAGGTGCTAATCTAATTCCAAAAGGCACACGCTTTTTCTTTATAATGGCCCTTTGCTGGTGAGTGGGGAGGAATGAAGCTATGTCTTACTGTGTTGATTAATACATAGTTATTGTACTCACAGATAAATCCATGTCTCCCAATCTTTTTTGTTCTTGCTCAATAACAGATTCTAATACTTTATAGTAAAGCATTTCTGCAAAACGAAAATGTTTGTTGGCAATTTCTGTTGGAATGAAAACAAAAGCACAAAATTAAATACAAATTAAGTAAATATCATGGAATAGTCTCATCGCTCACTTCTCTATCCACAAAATAAAGTCTAAAAACCAAATATATATTTTCTTTTTTTAATTAATTTTGCTTTTAAAATGTATATGGTGTTTGCTTGCATGCATGTCCATGCACTGTGTGTATATGGGTGCCCAAGAGACCAGAAAAAGACATCAGATTCCCCGGGACTGGACTTACAGATGGCTGTGAGCATGTGTGGGCTCCAGGGATTGACCCTGGGTCTTCTGGAAGAAAAGCCATTTCTTTTAACTGCCGAGACATCTCTCCAGCCCAAACCCATACTTTCTATAGTTGATGTTTCAGTTATCCCTAAAATTTCTCAATACTCCTTTTTTCCCCTTTCCCTTTCGCCAGAGGCTCACTCTGGTCCAGGCTGGTCTTGAACGCTCATCACTAGTCCCAGCACAGGTCCCAGGCACTGGGATGTTAAATGTGAGCTCCCTGTCTCTAGTATCATTCATGTCCTTCATATTTCCTAAAACTGACATGAAAGCAGCATATGAAGAACTCAGTATCACATTAAATGCACACGCTTTACCATTTTGAATACTACAGTTCTGTGCTGCTATGGCTCGGTGTTGGAAGTTCTTCAAGGACCTATGTGTTTAACGGTAGCCCTGGTCACCTCAAGAGAAATTCTTTCTGTTTGTTCGTGGTCTTTTCTCTCTCTCTCTCTCTCTCTCTCTCTCTCTCTCTCTCTCTCTCTCTCTCTCTCTCTCTCTGTGTGTGTGTGTGTGTGTGTGTGTCTACAGGGTGAGTTCCAGGACAGCCAGGGATACACAGAGAAACCCTGTCTCAGAAAACCAAAAAAAAAAAAAAGTGCTAAAAGTTCAACATAATAAAGATGTTAGACTAAACTTTCTGTTTCTGAAAAGGGCCCAGAAATCACTGACAGGAAAAAATAAATAAATAAAGGACAGTTCCACCGTAGCCTTCAGCTTACAGTTCTACATCTTTCCTTGTCTTTCTGACTCCATTAGTCAGATGTCAAAGTCAGGAGCAGTCTGGACAATAGTCGGCCTTACCTTTAGCACAATTACTAAAATTCTCGTCTGGCTGGAAATGCTGACAATATATTTCACACATTTCTTTCAATCTGTTAGCGATAGCCTGAGTTGGGTCACGGGAACATGACCTAAAAAGTAATATGAAATATAAGTGTTTCAGCTGGTCTCAGAGACACATGTCTAAAACTATAAATTTCATTGACATAAAATTCTTTGAACAGATACTATATACTTTACAAATAAAGGAAATCCCATACTTCCTTTTCAAAGATGGCAGTACTACTATTTGGAGTGTCAGAGGTATTTCCTGTGTGGAGCTGTATACTTTACTACACTGTGCTTACAGTATTGCTCTGGGGCTCATTTGATGCTGTGGCTAACCCCTTTATAACAGATAGCAACTTTCTATATCCTGTCATTAACACCAACCAAACTGCCCTCAGGTGACTGTCTAGTGGGCAGCAAAGCCTCCAGGAAGAACTCCTGGAAAAAATAGAATGAAGGGGTACAGAACCTACACCATAAGTACATATAAGCCAATGCTGGCATTTTTTTTATTCTCCCACATGAGGTTTATTTCATTGACTTTTAAATCTTTTGTGTGTGGAGTATTTGTATGTGTTCAAATATTTATGGTACACATGTGAGGGGCCCTGTGCAAATGTGTGCTGATGTGTATGTGTGTGTGTGTACATCAGGGATCAACCACAGAGGTTATTCCTCAGCAGATGTACATGTTGCTAAAATGGAGTTTCCCATGGGAAACTGGTGATCGCTGATTAAGCCAGGATGGCTGGCCAGCAGGCCACAGGATCTACCGCCACGCCCTAGCACTGAGGGTACAGGCCTATTCTAGCACACTGCTTTTTACATGGGAGCTGGGGGTGGGGTAGGAAATCAGGTTCTTATAGAGAGCAAGCACTTTACCAGCTTAACCAGCTCCCTCGCCATCTTTCTCATTGATTTTTTTATTAGCAATATATGAGGGTTTTATAACAACTGTTTTAATTCGATCACATACATATATGTCAGAACTTGGTAAAGAGAATGACCCATGATGAGCAGTGCCTTGGGGAACTGTGAGAGAGGCACCTGGGGAAAGAGGGCCTTTTACCTTACACCTTGTTCCCTGCACTGTTCTTGGACATGATTTCATGCCTTCTGTGACAAACATTTACATTAAGCTATGACATGCCTATTCTTGTTGAATATCAGAGCTATAGAACCCAATCTGGTCAGTGTGTGCTGCATCTGGATATGGCCTGCCTTGTTTTCATGCTTTCCCACATATAATTTGTAGTACATACCAGGAAATTGTGTTTAAATTGCTCTGTCCTGAGAAAGTTTTGGGAAAGGACTACTCTGTTAATATTTAGTATTTAGTATTTCCTGGCATTTATTTACATGATTTTTCTGAACTCCAAAAACCTTCCTTGGATTATTGTTTTCTTTGTTACATTCATGTATAATGTACATTGAAACAGAAATAGGATTGTCTACAGCATCAGACTGTAGTCCACCCTATTCTTTCAGGTCCTTAGATTCCAGGTCAGCTGACAAGATCTGCACAGGTAGGTTAAAAAGTCAATACATATATATGACCAAATTATAACAACTATATATTTAAACTAGTTTGGTTAACTTGATCATATACAATTAATTAAGTATATATAATTAAGTATACATGATCAAATATATATGCATTGCAAAACTTTAGCCAGTTCATAAAATTATAAAGAAGGGCTGGAGAGATGGCTCAGCGGTTAAAAGCACTGACTGCTCTTCCAGAGGTCCTGAGTTCAAGTCCCAGCAACCACATGGTGGCTCACAACCATCTTTAATGGGATCTGATGCCCTCTTCTGGTGTGTCTGAAGAGAGCAATGGTGAATACATAAAATAAATAAATAAATCTTTAAAAAAAATTATAAAGAAAATAAGCTTTATACTTGTGAGACATAACCAGAGATAACTATGTAACATAGTACCAGAGTTTTATTTATGAGCATACACATATACCTTAAAGTTTACCAAATAAAAAAGGTTGGTTTAATTTCTTGCATCAGTTTGGTTAAGCTAGCATCTACTGGTAATATGCAATTACACTAATAATATCTATAGCTAAAGCTGTCATGACTAGAGATTATAAAAAGATCTAGGCTTTCATAGCATATACATATACAATATAGGCTTTTATAGCATATACATATACAATATAGGCTTTCATAGCATATACATATACAATATAGGCTTTTATAGCATATACATATACAATATAGGCTTTTATAGCATATACATAAAATGCTTCTCTCAGCTACTGCAGAGGCTGAGGTAGGAGAATAAGGAGTTTAAGGCTGACCCGGGCTACATGGTGAGTTCAAGTCCAGCCTCAGCAACACAGACTCCATTTCTGTTTTTGTATGCTTTATAACATGGCCTCACTCCTTAACTCAGGCTAGTCTTGAACTTATGATCCTCCTGCCTCGGCTCTTAGGCCATATGCCTGGCCAAAACCTTGTTTCAAAAGAAGTAAATAAATGATTACTCCTTCAAACCAACATCCAGATTGGTGTTTAGCAAAACTAGGTGCTTTAACCTAACCAAACTGATGTGAGAAAGTAACTACCATATAATATATAATTCAGTCATATCTAAGTATTAGATTCCAGAGACCAGTTTTCTTATTTTTTTCCCCCTCTGAGGAAGCAGATGAAAAAGTGATTACCCTCAGATTATACACGGGTTCTCGGGACTATGCATACACCCACATTCCCAGAACATCTTGTCAATGGCTCAATACCAAGTTAACTGGAAAAACAAAAATAAAATGCTTCTAAATTCAAGGCAAATAAAGGCCATTGGGAAAAATATGACTTAGGAAGAAGCCATGAAGACATGGACTGCTCAGTGTTAATCACAATCAAGTTTACGAATAAAGAAGACTGAAAATATAGAGGAAAGGTGATCATCCTTGAACTCCAGTAAGCCTCGTGAGCTATGGGTAGAAATTATGAAGGTTTATAATAGATAATGTCTTCTTTATTATATACCACCAGAAAAAGCTGGTATTGTAGGGGATTTATACCATCAAACCATAAAGTCTAAGAACTTTGGAATCAGCTTTTCCAGATCAACCTGCCAAAGCTACACACAGAAGTATACCTTGAGCTGGGATGCATCTCAGCCTGGACAGCATAAAGCCGTGAGTCCCACCAACACGGCATAAGACTGTGGTATAGGCAGGAGACCCCAGCACATGGTGGGTGGAGGGAAAGCAGGAGACGCAGAGGTGTCAAGGGCATCCTCCATGGTATCTGTAGCTGGAGGCTAACCTGAGTACAGAAGCCCTTGTCTCAAAACAAACAAAAATTACATTCTTGAAAAGTCATCGATATTCCTGTCAGACTCGGGAGAGAAAAGGAGCTAACGCAAGTCCTTTCCAAATCAGGAGCTTTTTCAGAACTCACAGAAATTAAGTGATTGACCCACTGAACGCCCTAAGTCTTTTCAAACTGAGCCACCCTTCAGAATCGTGTTCCAGACCAATCTGCTCATCACCACAGGCACTCTGATTCCTTAAACTTTTAAAACAGTTAGAAATAAGACAGTGAGGTTATCTTTAGCCCCTGCACTATCACCGCACTCTCTTACAGCAATGCCACCTCTAGCTTACCGAGTTCCTGCAAGAGTAAATAAGAAGTCTCTATGTCACAGTTCACACGAAGCAGTCAGTCCACAGATCCACCAGTGGGAAACTGTAGGCAGCAGCTGGCTATAAAAACCACTCACAACGTGTGGCCGCTACTGGTGAGCTATCAATAGATCACTGAACCTCTGACTCCCCTCTTCCCAAGTCTGAGAAATTGCTCAAGACTTCAGAGCAGAGCTATTAGCGTTTTGCAGGAGGCAAGTGAACTTATCTGGCTGGTCTATTTAAAGGTAACAACCCTGTGTGTGCTATCCATGTTGACCGTACAACGATGCCCCCAAATACCTAGCTAACACAGCACATATGTGGGCCATGTGCTTTGGACTCCACCATGAGACAGACATAGGAGTACATACATCAGGAGTTCAGCGTCATGAGTGGCTACTTAGAAGGTTGAGGTTGTTTTGGGCTACAGGAGACACTGACATACAGTTTTTCCTGGTCTTCCTTTTATCAGTAGTTTTGCATGGAGTCAAAAGTACATACGTCTATGGTCACGAGTGAAGAAGAGGGACAGAAACAAAGTACTGGCTGGTTTCCACTTTCATGTAAGTGTGAAATTTTTTGTTTGTTTTGTTTTGGAGACAGGGTTTCTCTGTGTAGCCCTGGCTGTCCTAATACTCTGTAGACCAGGCTGGCCTTGAATTCAGAGATCCACCTGCCTCTGCCTCCCATGTTCGGGGATTAAAGCCTTACACCACCGCCGCCCAGCTTGTGGATTTTAATATAAATGTGGAGATGTGTAAAATGCTCATACAATCAAATGTTACTGTGATCACGTTAGAAGACAGACGAAACTAAACCAACCTGAGTAACTGCTCCAGCTTCTCACTGGGTGCATTCCTGAGGCCGGCCAGCATGGTGTGAAGACGGCTCAGGCTGTGTGCAGCTGTGGAGACGGGAGTCACACAAGGGCTGTTCTCCTGAACATAGCTCACGCCAGTCAGTGGTGTGCAGACTCTAAGCGCTTTAGACTGGAGGAGGAAAATGGAGGAAGTTTCTTTAAATTACACCACAAATAGGAATTCAAGACAACTAGACTTTCTATCTATACATGTCAGCACCTCAAACGTCACCATTCTAGGAATTTATAAATAATTCCACACAAAGGTTCCATCCCCCAAAGATGTGGAAAAGAACAATACATACTCCAGGCAACTGAAAGTCTCTGTTAACTGTAGAGATTAGGTGTGTGCCAGGGCAGGGCAGAACACAGAGGCACAAGGTTCACTCACTCACACATACTCACTCACACACACACTCACTCACTCACACACACACACACTCACTCACACACTCACTCACACACTCACACTCTCGCACACTCACTCACACACTCTCACTCACACACACACTCTCACACTCACTCACTCACTCACACATACTCACACACACTCACACACACACTCACTCACACACACTCACTCACACACTCATTCACACACTCATACTCTCATACACTCACTCACACACTCATTCCCACACTCACTCACACACTCACACACTCACTCACACACTCACACTCTCACACACTCACTCACACACTCAACACTCACACACTCACACTCACTCACACACACTCACTCACTCACACACTCACTCACTCATATTCTCACACACTCACTCATACACTCATTCACACAC